GGTAGACCACTTCACTAAATGGATTGAGGCAGAAGCAGCGGCCACCATAACGGCCAACAACGTCCAGAAGTTCTTTTGGAAAAACGTGGTCACACGCTTCGGCATCCCGTACGCTTTGATCACTGACAACGGTTTACAGTTCACCGACCGGCGCTTCAATGACTTCCTTTCAGAGTTAGGCATCAAACACAAAATGACTTCAGTTGAGCATCCCCAGTCCAATGGACAGGCCGAAGCTGCAAACAAAGTTATCCTCAAAGAATTGAAGCGACGACTCGGGCAAGCCAAGGGCTCATGGCCGGATCACCTACCAGAGATTCTATGGGCATATCGCTGTACTCCCCAAAGTTCTACCAGAGAGACCCCATTTTGGTTGACTTATGGTACCGACGCCATGATTCCGGTAGAAGTCGGGGAACCTTCACTTCGACGGCAGCAATTTGAAGATGATACCAACAGGGAATCCCTCAACATAGAGCTGGACCTAGTTGATGAAACACGCGAGTCGGCCCTGGTCAATATGGAAGCTTGCCGAACCAGGGCAGCTAGGAAGATCAGAACGAAGGTAAAACCTCGTCAGTTTCACGCAGGGGACTTAGTATGGCGAGTCACAGGGGAAGCACAAAAAGATAAATCTCAGGGGAAGTTAGCACCCAATTGGGATAGGCCGTATCGGATAAGGCACGACCTACAGAACGGGGCTTATAAACTAGAAGAACTCAATGGGAAGGTTATACCCCGCACTTGGAATGCAACACACTTGAAACATTACTTTAGCTAACATATCATGTAATTTTGTTTCGGTGTACTCTTTTCCTTTTCTGGGTTTTCTCCTCTTAGAAAAATGTGAAAAGAGGTTTTCCTGAGAAAAGGTTTTTAACGAGGCACCATATCAATGAAACAAGCTCCTTTTTGAGCAAACTTTCACTTGCCCAGTTTAGTCACAAGTTAAAATCACGAAATCCCTCCCGAGCAATCTCGCTCGGTCAAGGATGAAAAACACTTCCCTCCCGAGTACCACCTCGACCAAGGATGAAAAAAGAATTCCCTCCCGAGCACTCCCACTCGACCAAGGATGAAGACTTCATTACCTCCCGAGTACCATCTCGGCCAAGGTCGAAGTAGCAATCCCCTCCCGAGTACCACCTCGGCCAAGGATGAAAAAGAATTCCCTCCCGAGCACTCCCACTCGGCCAAGGATGAAGACTTCGTTACCTCCCGAGTACCATCTCGGCCAAGGTTGAAGTTCGACCGAGGTGGTACTCGGGAGGGGATTGCTTGTACAACCTTGGCTGAGATGGTACTCGGGAGGGAAAGCATTTTCATCCTTGACCGAGGTGGTACTCGGGAGGGGATTGCTACTTCAACCTTGGCCGAAATGGTACTCGGGAGGTAACGAAGTCTTCATCCTTGGCCGAGTGGGAGTGCTCGGGAGGGAATTCTTTTTTCATCCTTGACCGAGGTGGTACTCGGGAGGGGATTGCTACTTCAACCTTGGCCGAGATGGTACTCGGGAGGTAACGAAGTCTTCATCCTTGGCCGAGTGGGAGTGCTCGGGAGGGAATTCTTTTTCATCCTTGGCCGAGGTGGTACTCGGGAGGGGATTGCTACTTCGACCTTGGCCGAGATGGTACTCGGGAGGTAATGAAGTCTTCATCCTTGGTCGAGTGGGAGTGCTCGGGAGGGAATTCTTTTTTCATCCTTGGTCGAGGTGGTACTCGGGAGGGAAGTGTTTTTCATCCTTGACCGAGCGAGATTGCTCGGGAGGGATTTCGTGATTTTAACTTGTGACTAAACTGGGCAAGTGAAAGTTTGCTCAAAAAGGAGCTTGTTTCATTGATAGCGGCCACCATAACGGCCAACAACGTCCAGAAGTTCTTTTGGAAAAACGTGGTCACACGCTTCGGCATCCCGTACGCTTTGATCACTGACAACGGTTTACAGTTCACCGACCGGCGCTTCAATGACTTCCTTTCAGAGTTAGGCATCAAACACAAAATGACTTCAGTTGAGCATCCCCAGTCCAATGGACAGGCCGAAGCTGCAAACAAAGTTATCCTCAAAGAATTGAAGCGACGACTCGGGCAAGCCAAGGGCTCATGGCCGGATCACCTACCAGAGATTCTATGGGCATATCGCTGTACTCCCCAAAGTTCTACCAGAGAGACCCCATTTTGGTTGACTTATGGTACCGACGCCATGATTCCGGTAGAAGTCGGGGAACCTTCACTTCGACGGCAGCAATTTGAAGATGATACCAACAGGGAATCCCTCAACATAGAGCTGGACCTAGTTGATGAAACACGCGAGTCGGCCCTGGTCAATATGGAAGCTTGCCGAACCAGGGCAGCTAGGAAGATCAGAACGAAGGTAAAACCTCGTCAGTTTCACGCAGGGGACTTAGTATGGCGAGTCACAGGGGAAGCACAAAAAGATAAATCTCAGGGGAAGTTAGCACCCAATTGGGATAGGCCGTATCGGATAAGGCACGACCTACAGAACGGGGCTTATAAACTAGAAGAACTCAATGGGAAGGTTATACCCCGCACTTGGAATGCAACACACTTGAAACATTACTTTAGCTAACATATCATGTAATTTTGTTTCGGTGTACTCTTTTCCTTTTCTGGGTTTTCTCCTCTTAGAAAAATGTGAAAAGAGGTTTTCCTGAGAAAAGGTTTTTAACGAGGCACCATATCAATGAAACAAGCTCCTTTTTGAGCAAACTTTCACTTGCCCAGTTTAGTCACAAGTTAAAATCACGAAATCCCTCCCGAGCAATCTCGCTCGGTCAAGGATGAAAAACACTTCCCTCCCGAGTACCACCTCGACCAAGGATGAAAAAAGAATTCCCTCCCGAGCACTCCCACTCGACCAAGGATGAAGACTTCATTACCTCCCGAGTACCATCTCGGCCAAGGTCGAAGTAGCAATCCCCTCCCGAGTACCACCTCGGCCAAGGATGAAAAAGAATTCCCTCCCGAGCACTCCCACTCGGCCAAGGATGAAGACTTCGTTACCTCCCGAGTACCATCTCGGCCAAGGTTGAAGTAGCAATCCCCTCCCGAGTACCACCTAAAAAAAAAACCACGTGGCATTGGTGTCGCTATGGGCCATAACGACACCGTTGAAAATAGCCCCAAAGGCGTAAATAAATTCAAAATAGCCCCATTTAGGTAAATAACTTGGTCAACGACCCTACTTTGGTCAAAAAGCCAAAATAATGTGTATAAATCAAATGATTTTGTGTTTTACCTAACTCAACCTAACTTATAGGGTAAGCTTTGTTTATTGTATGATCGTACATTTTCTTTTATGTTAAGATCTCTCTCCTTTTTTTTTTTTTTTTCCTTTTGAATTACGTTAATGATGTGTCGAAGCTATTAGAAGATACTCACCTTAAGATTATTGCACAGAATTGAACCACAAACAATTTCACTAGTTGTAGTTGTTTCACTGACCTCTAGGGGTCAGGAAATCTCTTTAGGGAAAATTTTCCATTAAACAGAAAAAAGGTGAAAGTTCGATCTGTATCTTTAATCACTTGTATAATTCCACATTCACTTTATATTGAGTCTCAAATGCATAATTTTCATATTAATAATGAATATTTTGAATGAAACTAAATATTTGTGGATTATTAAATAATAGGTGATTTGACAAGTCTAATTATTACCATAAATTTTTTATATCATCTTATAAGTTTAAGTTTAATTTTAAATCATAATTCAATCTAAAAATATATATATATTTTTTTTCTTGTATACAGTGTTTAAATACAACGGTACATCATATAGGTGTATGGTACAATACATATCGAATACATATTTGCCACGAATTAAACGCGAAACAAAAAAGCAATTTTTATTACGATTAAGCCAGACTTTGATGGGATGTGATACAATCATTCAATATAGGTCCACAAGAAAGCAAATGGCAACTTCTATACATAGCGTTTCATGTACTCTTCAACCGTAGTGTACTTTATTTGAGGGTACAGTTCACAAGCTTCAACCCCTTCTTCTCCTATCTCAAAATTTGTGAGGCAACCTTCAAAGCAAATATGGTAGTAATGGACCATTGCCACGCTCTGCGCATATGATTGCCCTGTGTTATAATTAGCAAATAAAAACATCATTGTAATTTTCTTTATAAAAAAATTAGAACAAGAGAAAAAGAGAATTAATAATGAAAACTAGCTACGAAGTGTCAAGAACATGCATGTGTGTAACAGGCACGAGGCCAAGTCAGAAAAAGTTAGCTAAGTGCAAAATGTTAGTCCAGAAATCAGTTGTTTTTAGGTGTAACAGTTATCACACAAAAGACTTTCCGATATGTTTTCTCTTAAATCACATGCATTCTGAAAAATCTTTAAGATGTAAATTATTTCAAGACAATCAAGTTTAGTTATACAGTTTTTAAGTGATATTATATGATGTGCAGATAATATTTCTTATCCGATGATATTGATCTCACCTCCCATGGAACTCAAAAACTGTTCTTCTGAAATTGAAGATTTCTGCAACTCTTTCCAAATCAGTTTCTCCC